AAACGGGAAACCAAATCCTGCATTTTGTGATAGACGGAAGGCATGCTTCCATGTTTTAGATGTACATACGTACACTCCGAGGGCCAAACATACGTACACTCCGAGGGCCCCCAACAATGCAGGGAAAGCTCAACGTCGAAAAGCTGCAATCAAAACAGACGGCGCTCGACCCTCACACCTGCTGTGAGAGAGCACTCTTCAACAAACCGACTTGCGCGAGCAGTGGAACCACATTTCCCGCTCATTACTGGTACGATAAGGAGTGTGAGAAAATGCTTGAAATGCTGGCCGACAGAAAAAACACCCGAAATTTTTAGTAGAGAGTTGACCGACTTACGGAAAGTTTCAAGACTCTTGTGGGAACAACGATGGTAGAGTCCGACCGATTCCAATTTTTTTCAGGTACCGATGCCGATGCCGATTAATCGGCTTATGGGGAAAGAATCGGCCGATGCCGATGCCGATTCCATAAAAAGTTACAAATAAATGTATTAATTCATAAAATCAGTACATTTCTCGGAGTTAAAAAAAACAAAAGAAAAGAAAAAATTGAATTAATTGGCTTGTTATGCAATATTACATACACATGTATATGTGTAAAAATATATGTACATATATCACATTTATGTACATTACATAAAACACTTTTTATATGGTGCTAAGCAAAAAATATTTAGGAACATAAAATTTCCTTTCGTTTTGTACTAAAATACACTCTTTTGTACTCAATGCATAAGAACTTATATGCTAGGTACGTATGTACATACATATAGTGGTCTACAAAATAAAAGAATTGCGATATTTTGACCGATTTTGTCTTTTTTATTTAATGTTTATTTTTTTTTTATAAAAGTCTAGCTGGTATACAACAAACACCATATAAATTCAGATTTCAAACATTGTACAAAAATTGGAAAAATTCTGCTTATTTTCACCAAAATTTCGAACACTTTAATCAGAATTTTGGTATCCAGTTTTGTAGACCATTTCATTCTAGTATAAGGAAGTGCAAGTTACAAGCTGCTATAAAATCGCGTTAATTTTTGGCAATTTTTTTTGCTGGCAGTGTTCTCCATAAAAATAATTTTTGTGAGCTGTCTGCGAATGTTTTTTAAAGTTGGCTGTCGATTCACCTGAACATTTGAAAAGAAATTCCAAAGAATCGGCGAAAAAAAGGCCGATGCCGATGACGATTATCGGTCGGACTCTAAACGATGGTGACCTAGTGACCGATGTCCAGAACGTACTCAGATTATGGAGCGAACCCATTTCGACCTTTTTGAATGGCAGAAGCACTGAAGGAAGTGGAGAAGACGAACCCGAGGTCCCACTCGATGTCGATGGAGTCGATATCCCAGCGCCTGACTATGACGAAAAGTGCCAAAGCTGCTTGAGCTGACGGCCTGTCAGCTGAGCTATTTAATAAGGAGGTAATAATGTGCATGCCCGACGACTGGAATTCTAGTGCGCTCTGCCTAATCCACAATAAAGGCGACCCCGCCATGCGTGCCAACTACCGTGGGATAAGCCTTCTAAGCATAGGTTGCAATGTCTTATCGAATGTGTTGTCTACCATAGACCTTTCACAGTACGCCAAATCTTGGAAAAGACCCGCGAGAAAAGGATCGGCGCTCACCACCTATTTGTCGACTTTAAAGCCGCTTTCGACAGTACTAAAAGGAGTTTCCTATATGCCGCTATGTCTGAATTTGGTATCCCCTCAATACTCATACGGCTGTGAAAAATGACGTTGAGCAATACCACCAGCTCTGCTCTGTTGCCGTTCGCCACCAGACGGGGTTTGAGACAGGGCGACTCTCTCTCATGTCACTTCTTTAATCTGATGTTGGAGAAGATAATAAGATCTGCAGAATTGAACCGCTTAGGAACAATTTACTACAAGAGCATACAATTGCTGGCTTACGCCGATGACACTGACATCATCGGTAAGAAAAACCGCGAAGTCTGTCCTTGCTTTTCCAAGTTGGACAAGGAAGCAAAGCGAATGGGTCTGGTGGTAAACGAGGACAAGACAAAGTACCTCCTGTCATCAAACAAACAATCAGCACATTCGCGCCTTGGCACCCACGTCACTTTTGACAGTTATAATTTCGAGAAAGTAGAGAATTTCGTTTACTTGGAAACCAGCATTAACACCGATAATAATGTCAACATGGAAATCCAATGCAGAATCGCTCTTGCCAACAAGTACTGCTTTGGACTGAGTAGGCAATTCAGGAGTAAAGTCCTCTCTCGACGTACGAAAACCACACTATAAATCACTCATCATGCCCGTGCTGGTATATGGCGAATTAAAATACCGCGGCTCAACTAGCTTGACCATATCGTTCGAATGGACACCGACGCCCCAGCTCTGAAACTATTCTGGCTTCACTTGGCAATTGGTGTCAGTTGGTCAAAATCGATTTGGCGGTTACAGCGGCAAATAAGAAGAAGAGGAAGAGTATAGATCTATAACGTTATTAGTCACACAGTGTTATACTCCCGACGAAATCCTTGACGGTGGTACCGGGAGGGGAACGGTACATGACGGTAGGAAGCTTAGTTTGGGTTAAAGTCTCACACGGACAATAAACAATAATAAACAATTTTTTGGTAAGTAAGTTATTGGTTTTGAATTTTTTTTGCAATAACTTGCAATCTTCGAAACAGCTGATCACTTTCACAGTTGCAATAGGTGATCCATTTGGTAATTTATTATCCGTTTGGTGCATTGTCCCCGATTTGGAATTTTTTACTATTGAATTCTTTTGTATAGGAAAAATGTTTTTAACATATAATTGAATTTTCTCAGAATGAATAAGTTTTTTTTTCTAACAAATATTTTTGATGCCATATCATGACGCATTCAAAAATAAAAGAATCTCCTCCAAGCACCCTTCCTTGTTTCACAAAAATTAAGTAGATATAGCCACAAATGTGCCTTTAAAATTATCCCATTTTCGCTTTAACGATCAACCGACAAATTCGGTCAGAAACTTTCAGTATTATTATCTATTTTGGTATATTTCTGGGAAAAATATGGTACAATTGAAAAATTTTATACGGCAGCCATAGTTGACAGACTAAAATTAAAAAATTAGAGCATCAGCAGACATTTTTACTTGTAAGTTTTCGCAGGTAAAATTTTTTCGAGCAGAAATTGGCAGATCTCAGTGTCATTTTGCGCTCTCGATTCCCCCCTCTTCGCCAGATTTTAGGTACGAGAACACTGCTATTAACTTGTTTATTTCTATAAAAGGAAATATTTTGCAAAATATTTTTGTGAAACTTCCATTCCGCTAAATGCAACGGCTTTTTGTGAAAATTTTTGTATTACTAGCACTTAACTTTTGGTGGTCTTTTCAAACAATTCATTTGCACTTATATTTTCCACCTTCGGCACGCTATGTTTTATATCATGATTTTTATACAGAAAATCTAAAAACATATGTATATGTAACTATGTATGCATAGTGTTTTAAATGTTGGTACTCTTTCGGCTAATTTAGTACACTTTTTTAGTGATTTGGTACAAAATTAAAAAACTCATTTATCATCCCTGGGTTATACAATCCTGATTGGTATCACTACATTTGATTCTCTTCTTGTAACCGTCTCACTACGATCATTTGAATGTTTACTTATGCTATCATTTACATCTTTCATTCCAAAAATAATGCGAATTGGGAAATTATTTATAGGTTACCGGCACCAGCAACGTGTGCCAGCCAGTTGCGGATTTAAATGAGCCTAGATCCGACAAGCAAGTTACGAAAATAACACAATTCCAGACTGAAGATTAAGAAGCACGGTCGCTTATCAGCCACCATCCTTCATCTCACACCCAAGGTAATATTGTCACATACATACATATGTATGCATGTATTCAAATAAAACCAATACCTTTGTATAAATGCTGATTACACGGTGCTACAAAAAATACACCCGAAACAAAACCTAGTTTTAGGTTGTAGGTATGATCGAATTCAACATGAAAATACGTCCTGTATAGTTTCTGAACTCTCCATTTTTCTTTTATACCAAAAAACCCGTTGACCATTTTCCATCCGATTTTAAAAATCGAACCAGTTTTGCAAAGAGGATTTATAGATTTGTAAAACGATGTATTGCAATATATTGTTAGACTTAGTTTGTGGGGAGTTTTCATCGGTTAAATTTTAATGAGCCCATATTTTTCTTAATTTTTTGAAATTCCATCGTGGTTAATTTCAAAAATTTCTATGAAAGTGGCCAACTACGTGGTCTTTATCAAAGAGAACATTTATTTTCGAATAAATTGATACCTCATCCAATGCAATTGCATAAAAATTGGCGAAGTTAGGCAATTTAAGCAAAAATAAGGCTTTGAATTTATATGTCTATGTACTGGAGTGTAGGTTTTTTGAGCAGTGTAGCTAAGGAGTTCATCAATTTACTCAAAATTGATATATAAAATGGCTCTTAAGCAAACAAATTATTTTTCATACAATTTTAGGAAAATGGGCGTGGCACCGCCCACATGTATCATATATGCGTATCTCAAAAACTACTTGATTGATCTCGACCAAATTTGATATACACATTGAGCTTGGCCTCCTTAAGCACCATGTTGATTATTTTTTGAAATCGGTCAAACATTTCTCCCCCTGAAATATAGCTAGCCTTGAGTTTTTTTGAAATTACCGTTATGTGGGTGGAGCACGTGGTTTTTGTCCGATCCTTAACGTTGTTTTTTGTATAAAAAAATGGAGGGGTCAGGAACTATACGGGACCTATTTTAATGTTTACTCGACCATACCTATAACTTACACTCGGTTTTGTTTCGGGTGTATTTCATTTTTTTTTGTAGCACCGTGTTATGAATTTAAACGCACGCATTTGTCTTTTTCTTTGTTTTTCAATCAACTAAACATTGATGCCCTGTTGGAGTTGCCGGCCACATACGCACCAGTCGTTTCCATGGTCCATCGACAATTTATAAACATTACTTGTCATCATTTTCGTTGTTTATAGGTATGTATATGTATATTATAATCATAAATTAATACAAAAAAATATTATTTAACTAAATAGTGAGGGTATATGAAAGTTTAAAGTTGAGAAAAATAGAAAGAAAACAATGATCATATTAATACAGTCCAGAAAGCATCTCTGCTTATGAATAGATTAAATTTAAAACGAAAGAAGGCATTTTTGGTTTCTCTTCAGCTATTTCTAGTATAGCTGCATTATCCATTTGGTTACAGCACCTTAGATGCGCAGGTTAGGGTTTGTATAGCGCACATACTTCAGAAGGGCATCGTTCTCCTCACACACAAATGGCTTCTTGTGGTGGCAGGCGACATCGTGCCAGTTTACACCATCATTGTAGAATTGGTTCAGCAGAGCTAAGCAATTTTCCGGAGCACCATTTTGCTTGTATTCACGGTTATCAGGCTGCGGAAGGCCAATGCCACCACTGGGCGACCAATCTCCCTGCGAACGTTCCGAGGTGGGAGCCAACTTTTGGAGAGTGGCGGTCCAGAACCAACCATTGATGTTAGTGGGCTGCAAGTCGGGACGTTCACAGCCCTTAAAGTCACATAAACGACCGCTTGTCCAGATATATTTTACCTAAAAGACAGAGAGAGAAATTAGAACCGACTAGTTAATCAGTACAAAATTAATATTAATGAAAGCATGTATAACAGTATGAAATGTCTGAGGTAAATGAAAATTTTCGTATTCTTTGGCTTCTTAAGCTTTCGTGAAGAAATGCCTTGTCAGTAGCTATTTTTCGTCTTTAACCTTGGTTATTGCTATAATATTGCTTGGGCTTCTCGATTGTTGTCTAAAATATTCAAAAGACTTAAGCGAAGAACTTCAGTTAGTTTTTTGTTACAAATTGTGAAAATTGTAGTTAACTTTACTTCAACTACTGAATCCCTTTGAGACTTACGAAAATATTGACGATTATAAAAAGCTAGTGTTGCCATGACAACTGAAGCTGGTAATATTTTTTCAGCTAATTCAAATTTGAAATGGTTGCTTAACCAATTGTTTGGTTAACGTATTGTTTAAGCGACTTATGCATTTCCCGCATAAATAAAGAATAGCGAACTCCCACACGCATTTATATTGCATTGCCCGCATTAACCAAGTGCAGCAAACAAACACACGCACTTCTCAACTGCCGCAGAACAAAACCTGCTAAAGTAGTTAATTGCTGGCACCCCAAATCATGCTCAACAATCCCGCTTGATGCCTCACAACTCTTCCGGAGTTGTATCACGGGGCTCTGTATGGCTTTCGGTATACAGAGGTGGTATAAATGTTACCATTGGTCACAGCGCATACCCTCTCAGTGAGTTAATCACATATGGACAATATACTTCTAGAGTAAAATATAAACATTTCATGCGCATCCTCTAAATTTATACTTAGAAACGTAAAGTTTTTTACCAGCAACTCTTTCGACAAGAGGCACAATTTTGAAAGGCGGTCCCTACTAAACTTGGAAAACTTCTTTTGGACTATAATGTATATATACAAATTCGGTTTCAAGTATATATTTCTGCGTTAACCTTGTATCTGCAAAAGAGTTATTCTGGAGAATGTAAGAGAAAATGCTTATTTTCTTCCACTAGGATACAATAAACACATTTTTTACTCAATATTCCTGGTTCTACTAATACTAGCGAGCATCGACAATAAGTTTTCATTTTATTTTCAAATAGTGTGACGCTTAAACTTTTGTTAAAAGTGGTATTATTAGTTTTCCCAAAAAATGTAGAAACGGACGATATATACAATAGAATCCAAAAAATCAGCGGCATGGGATAACTAAATGGCTAGGTAAGTATGTATGCGTCAAATGAATGCGACATAAAAGTGATTTGCAGCGTTGGCGCATGCGGAATCAATTGCGACCGATAGAACATATTAAAATTAATGAGTGACAACAAAATGTAATAACCAGGGAAAGGATTTTTAGGACCTAAAAACCTAAAAAAAGGCATAATAAAATAACGAAATAGGCTGGAAAAGGCAAAATAAAATAGCGAAAAAGGCACTAGGTATTGCAAAAAAGGCAAAACAAAATAGCGAAAAAGACAGGAAAAGGCACTAAAAAAAAGACAGAAAATACGAAGAACAATCAAAAAAATACATTTATTTTAGAAATTTTTATAATAATAATAATAGATTGGCGCTTACACATATGTTAGTGTTTGGCCGAGCTTCTCCTCCGACTTGTGGCGGGCGCCTTGATATTTTCACACAAAGCGGAGGGACCTACAGTTTTACGCCGACTCCGAACGGCGATTGTGTTCTTATGAGAAGCTGTTTTTCATGGCAGAAATACACTCGGATGTTTGCCATTGCCTGCCGACGGACGACCGCTGTTAAGAAAAAACCTTTTTTCTATATTTTTTGCGATGTTGCTTTGACCAGGGTTTGAACCCGGGTGCTGCGGAGTGGAAGCGCGCACTGCTTAAACTACACCACAGCGGCCGACCAAATGTTTATATTACAAGTAAAAAGAGAAAAACTATGAACTAGTTTCATTATATGAAAAATTTGTACTTGGAATCTTTGACTATTTTATCCTTTCGAGTTTCTAACTCATAAAACTTTAATCCGAATAGTTATAGAGCATTTTGCATTTTGAAGTTTTCTGGAAGCATTTTAATTCGATTTTCGCGAAGAAAAGCCTTGAATGTACTAAATGTGCACACGAGGTAAGTTGATACAAGTGGAGCCCAATTTAAATATGGAACGTTTGAAACGTTCATATTATCAGGAATAAGGGCGTTTTCCTCGCCCTTTACAATTTTATCCACACCCATTATTATCTCCAAGCCTACGTGAGCTGAGAAAACGGCTTTGAATTTTTCCAACACCAATTTGGCAAGAGGTCCCTGCGCTTCTATTAGCCGCATGGGCATGTGTATATTTTTTAATCTTAAAAAAAAAATTGTAAATGCTATAATCACTTTTTTAAAGGCAGAAAAGGCAAAAAAAGGCAAATATCTTAAAAAAGGCAAAAAAGGCAACGTCAAATGTGTATATATGGAAACAGGGAAAGCTAAATCGTGGACATTCTTGATCGGATATACTCTATCTCTTTAGCAGAAAAAAGGCAATTTCCATAAAATCTGAACCCTGGTAATAACAGACCCATATTTCATTAATCAGTTGGGTTTATAATAGTTATAAACACACACTTCTGTTACAAATCTGTGTTCGTATGGAAAAGGAGCTTATGTCGAAAGGCTGGCTTTAGTATAAATCAGCATTCGCCGCATACGATTGCGAATGACTCACTGGCGCTAAGCCGTTGAACACCGTTTGGCAAATAAACGTTCAAGAAATAGTTCCGATACTAGCAAGTCAATATTCTTATTAAGTCTTATCAAAAAATTCCTTCTCGTTTAAAGAATAAAGGGAATGTCGCATTATACTAAAGCCCGCCTTTCGACATGAGCTACTTTTCGATATGAACTCAGATATGTATGTGCAGAAAAATTTCACGTCAATCAATCAAAAAATCACAACAATGAACGAAAATTTTGGTGTTTGATTGATATAAAATGAATTGGTTAAAAAAGAAATATTCAAGTGGTAAAATATAACAGCAACACCATTGTTGTGTGGTGGAAAGTGGCAGAATAAATTTAATGAGCTAATTAATGTCAAACAAGAAACACAAGAGGCTAAAACCAGGTGTCTTTTACACATATATGTATGTATGTACATTGTACCTACATTACGGTGATTCCGAATTTTTTGTTTATTTTTTTCCTCCGAACCATGCTCAAATGTTTCGTTAGATGCCAGAATAAGTCTCAGAAAATATGAGCACTTAATATTAACATTAAGAGTGTCCGCATCGCACTTTTCGATTTCCCATAAGAATAATACAGGAACAATTTTTTTTTTCTACTTCTGATGTTTATATTTAACGAATGATACGTTGTAATGTAAAGGTCTTGGAGTATTTTCTTAAAGAATTGAACGCTCTACAAAAAAGGTCAAAAGTCATTTTTCAATAAGCCTACTCGGTTAAAAGTTATTCGAGGTCAGTCGAATTCACCATTCTTTCGAAGACCTTTACAGTACAACTCATCGTTCGTTAAGTATAAAAATCAGAAGTAAAAAAAACACCTTTCGATTTCCCATAAGAATAACACAGGAAAAATAGTTTTTGTTTTAATTCTACAGTACAGTACAACGTATCGTTCGTTAAATATAAAAATCAGAAGTAAAAAAAAACAATTTTTCCTGTGTTATTCTTATGGGAAATCGAAAACTGTGATGCGGACATTCTCAATATTAATATTAAGGGCTCATATTTTATGAGACTTGTTTTGGTGTCTAAACGAAACTTTTTAGCATGGATGCGAGGAAAATTTTTTTTTTTCTGAATCACCGTATCATACATTCATATGTCTATGTTTACACAATGAGTATGAGTAAACCTATGTATTGCAATTCATACAAATTTAGACATACAACACATGCACATACAAATGCCATTCTTATTTATAAATCCAAATGCACTCTATTCATGTACATTAATATCTATGTATGTTTTTATACATACTTAATTGCAGCTTAAAGCATTTAAGACTGGGTTGTATTGAGTTCGCTGTTATTGCCATTGACATTCCCTTTTGTCATATCACACCTCAGCTGCCAACGGCAAGCTTAACCACATTATTTATTTTTCACTTTCTCTTAGGAAAAAAACGGACAAAAACACACGACAACGAAAGCTAGCAAACCGTTATATGAAGTATGGCTTTTAGCTAAAAGGGTCAATAAGCTGTAGGGAAGTGCGGAAATACAAAACGTTGATACGTATGTACTTATATACATGCGGGCTTTTGTAAATATGTACATATATGCGCATGCAAATATGTATACAGAAAGTCAACAGAAATATGAAAAATCGTATCTTAACGACACTGGCTAAGTCTTAGCTTGTGGACATTACTAAAAGAAAGTGAGTCCACCTGTTGAGGTGCTCGTTTGTTATATAGTTCAAACACATACTCATATACATACTTATATGATGTACGTATGTCTTTATATACATATAAATGTATATACATATATATATTTAATACCTGAAAATATTGCGAAGCTCTCAGTTCAGATTAATAAATGCAAATACTTATGCATTTAAAATTTAAAATTTAAAATTTAAGAATAAGAAGTTTAAATATTGGGCGAATGTGAAGAGTTTAACACCATTATTCTAGAACCCGAAGTTTCATAATTCGTGATTCGTTGCTATGTCACGAAAAACGAAAAATCCACATGTCGCAATCCTTGCGGAAACATGTGCAGCATTACCAGCTATCAGTTGTTTTTTGAAGACAGCTGTTTGAAGGAAAACAGAGAGGAAAAGAATTAAAAAAACACCTAGTAAGGTTGTTTGATTTTACATATTTTGAAGAAAATGATGGATTCTAAAATATTTGCAATTATAGCAGCGGAGTAAAAGGGCGCTATGAAAATGAATTCACAAAGGTATGCGGAGCTGTCGGGCATAGAAACCATGCACGCATCAATGTCAGCTTTTGGTTGAATTGTTGAACCACAAGCCATAACTCTTCTATGCTTGAAAA